CTGATGAATAGCACTGTCCAGTTCTGTGAGATTTGATGGTTGTGGAACCAGCTGCCTGTTGGCTCTTTCAACTTCGTCCCACAAATGCTGCAATTGGATTGAGATCTGGTGATTGTGGGGGCCACCTAAGCAAGGTAAAGTCTCCCTCGTGTTCTTGAAACCACTCCTGCACAATACGAGCACCGTGGCATGGCGCATTGTCTTGTTGGAAGAAGCCATCTCCGTTGGGATACGCCATCAACATGATGGGATGAAGTTGATCCACACGAATTAAAGGGCCCAAATCATGCCAGGAAAACATGCCCCGAACCATAACACTGCCCCCACCAGCTTCAAGGGTTGTACTCATGCATGTGGGGTGCATGCTTTCATGCTGTTCCCGCCAATTTCTCACTCTGCCATCTGCATGATGCAACTGGAAACGTGATTCATCGGACCACATTACTTTTTTCCAATGCTCGACTGTCCAATCCTTGTGTTCCTGTGCAAATTGGAGACGTTTTATCTTGTTACCTGCAGACAGCAAAGGTGTCGGAACCGGCCTTCGTCTTCCATATCCCATACGATGCAGTGTACGGCGAACAGTGCGTTCAGAGATCATTTGAGAGGATCCCTGATTAGGATCTGCAGTCATTTGATGCACTGTTGCCCTTCTGTTGCCTTGTACCAGTCTTGCCACTCTCCGTTCTGCCCTAACATTGACTAGTCGCTGACTAAATCGTGTTGTTTACCCGTATCTTCAGAAACAAATCACTTCTACTGTCGTGGTAAACAACCTGCTTCCCTATTTATAATGGTCTGGCCCTCTAGCAACTTCAGCGCAAAATTATAGCTAATTAGCTCATTTGCCTACAAACGTCATGTGGTCATAATAATCTGGCCACTTAGTGTATATACATATATATATATATATGATTTCTATGCTAGTAAAACACAGTGGGTCACTCATTTTGCACATCAGCTATTCACCGAATGTCTATTTATTAATGCTCCTCTAATTGGATAGGGGGGAGGAGGGGGGAGTTAAACATTTTTTTACCTGGCTTCTGCTTTAAGCTAACCAGCAAAAAAAAAACCTCAGCAATTACTATTTAGGGTAAAGAACGTGTTTATGTATATACTGTACATATCGAAGCCACACTGATGTGTCAAGGTGATTGTTGTAGTAAAACAGCAAAATGACATCTATTTGCTTGTCACCTGTATGTTTACAGTACCTTCAATGTTAGTACTATATGAGGTTGCACATCAACACTAACCTGCAGGAATGTAAAGGAAGAAAATGATTGGAGAGGAAAGCAAGTATCCCTACATCCTGTAACCCATTGTTTTCCATTTTTTTCTAGGATCAAGATAAAACAAAACCCCTTTCAACATTGGCCAATTTGGCCATCACAATCACAGATATTCAGGATATGGACCCAGTATTCATCAACTTGCCTTATAGCACTAACATATATGAAAACTCACCTCCGGTAAGAGTTTTTCATGCTTTTTTTATTGTTAATAATATAACATATTATGCTTTCTACAAGTTTGCCTAAAATGTCAAACATCTACTGCAAGCAGAGATCCTAAAATATTTAGAAAGCTGACCGTACGTATTCATAGGTAGAAGATAAAGATCCCAGACCTCCATGTTCTCTCAGCTTACTAGGTAATTTGCCAATAATCCTAAAGGACTTTAATATCCTAAATTGCTGGTTGTATTTTCAGGACATTTTCCACCAAATACAAAATTATTCATATAGGTACTGATGATTAGTCTGGTTTATTTTAGTTTTTTTAGATTTTGTGGTTCAGATAACTAACATGTTCAGTATCACAGTAGCATATACCTATGAGTTTCTTAGATTTCAAATATTTTCTTCGTAACACTTGAAGTCCAATTGCAGTCAAAGAAATAGATATGCAACATTTGTTCTAATGGCCTCCATTTCCATAGTATTTACCCATTGGCATTATAACACGGTTCTTCTGCGGCATGTGCCATCGCAGCTGCTGGCTTCTGCCCCCACCTGTCAGCTCTCCTGCTGCTAGTCAGATGTCTAGTACAGATCCAAGGTAAGTGCTCTGAAACTCCTCCTCAGATGTGTGCTACAGGTCCAACAGGGGGCAGGTCAGTGAGCTGGAAGGCAGGGAAAAAAGCCAGCAACTGCTAAAGCACACAAATTGCATTGCTTTACATCAACAGATGTAAAGCAATGCAAAGTGAGTACACTTCAGAGGGGGACAAATTTGTGTTGGGAGTGGTTTTGTCCTGAGGAAGATTGTATTGGGAAAAAGGTGAATTTTTGATTGGGAAATAATTCTTCTGATCCTTGCGCTTTGTGAGTTACCTACTCTTGACTCCTGTGCTTTGTGTGTTACTTACTCATGCCCCATTCACTCTTTGCATTACTTACTCTTGACCCCTGCACACTGTGGTTTACATACTCCTGATCCCTTTGTTTTGTCGATTACTTACCCTTAACCCCCTGTTTCCTTTCTGTTACTCACTCTTGATCCCTGTTGCACTTTGTGCATTACTTACACTTTACTTCCGCTCGCTGTGAGTTACTTACTCTTGACCCCTGCTCTTTCTGCATTACTTTTTCTTGACCCCTAGACTCTGTACAGTGTGTATTCCTGACCCCATGCTTTGCATACTTTTGACACCTGCACTCTTCTGACCCGGAAGGTGTATATTTTTGACACTACACACTTCTGACCCGGAAGGTGTATATTTTTTTAAATATACAAATTGAAGTGGTCACGGTAGTGCCTAAAAAGTCATTTTTCTGTTCTTTCTTATCCATTGATATTAGGATGTGGCACTCTCTAAACCCCTATGCATCCTTGTTACCCTGCACTCTGTGTGTTATGTACTGCTGACCCCTGTGCTCTTTGCATTAGGTACTTCTGACCCCTGCACTCTTTATGCTATATTGTTAAGTATATACTGTACTCCCCACCAATGTGTTCATGGTCTGATCAGTTTCTGATTACTAAGTAGTCCACAATCATTTTAATTAACTTCTTTAAGTTAGGCTCCAAAAGCTCTCTATTCTATTATATGTGTGCAGAAAATCATATATAATGGCAGAGTAAATAAAGCATATTTTGTGGGTACATGCACTGTGGGATATGTGTATGTGTATATAGCAAGAAGGCTCAGGTTTTATTTAACCAGGCCACTTTAAATCCTCCCACTGTTAGCACAATTTAGCCACACCCACCTTTCATGGCAGCGTGCATCGCACACTGCATCAGTGCTCTACTCAGGGTGCCCAAGATCTGTCACATCCCTAGCAACACCCCTAATCTTAACTACAGTTTCCTGTTTCAGCTGTTGTGCAGAGTGTCTAAATAGGACTGTGCAGTAGTGATGGGCCGAACACACCTGAGTCCGGTTCAAGTTCGAACTTTAGAACATGGAAAAGGTTTGAAATCGAACTTCAAACTCAATGTAAGTCTAATGGACCAGAATTCGGAAAATCAAATGACCCCATTTTGAAGGCTTATTTTCAAGTTATTGGCCATAAAAAGGGTATGGGGATTTGGGTACTTCCCTGGGGGGCATGTATCAATGCAAAAAAACACTTTAAAAAAAAAATAAACATTTTGAAGGAGCAGTGATTTTAACATTGCTTAATGTGAAACAATAAAACTGAAAAACTCCTTTAAATATCATGCCTGGGTGGGTCCCCTTAAACTGCCAGTAAAGTGGCGCATCTGTACGATGTGTAGAACCTGCTGCAGCAAAACTGAAATTTATAAAGAAAAAAAAAAGGTGTGTGGTTCCTCCTCCCAAACAATACCCGACCCTTAAGGTCTGGTAGGAATGTTAGAAGGGACCCCATTTAAAAAAAAAAAAAAAAGCATGTGTGGTTCCCCCTCAAAGTCATACCAGGCCCTTAAGGTCTAGTAGGAATTTTAAGGAGGAATCCCACCCCCAAAAATGGAGGGGGGGAACCTGGGGTCCCCCAAAAAATGCCTAACCAGACCCTTGATCCGAACAAAGACCTGGAAGGGCAGGAAAGGGGGGGGGGCTCCCTGCCATACCAGGCCACATGTCCTTGGCACTGGGAGGGTACTTTTCCAGGGTCGCACCATGGGGACAATGGCCTCTTCCCCACAAGCCCTTGGGCGTTGGTTGTGGGGATGTGGGCAGGGGGGCTTATTCACACCCAGTACCCCTTTAATAAAGGGACTGTCACGAAACTGTGCACTGGCGTACCAACACTGCGTGCAGGTATCTATACAGGTGAACCAAATATGTGACCACACTTAAGATACCAAAACAATTACTGTGAACTATATTTTATTAGATACACCAAAAACAACACAACCACAAGCAACCCCACCAACAGGGGTAAGTGTCAGAAGTCAGGTCAAAGTCACGGTCCAAGGCAGGAACAGAGGTAGGAATAGGAACCAGGATACAGGTAGGGCTATGGAAACAATACTGGGGCCCAGGCCTCACTGCGAGGAGAGACCAAATACATTCCCAGACCAGCACCAGGTGGTGACTAATTGCTGATTGCTGGGAGACACCCGCAGGTGAGCTCCAGAACTGCACGTTCCAGCACTACCTGTTACCTGGTAGCTATTGGCTGCCTGGAGACACCTGCAGGTGAGCACTGGATCTGCAAGATCTGGTACCAATGCCACCTGGAGGTGCTCTGGTCCCTGCCAGGCACCCAGATGCGCCCCCCCCCTTGTGAATGAGTAAGGGCTACTTTAAAAAAAAAAAAAAAGATGCCACACTTCGAAAAAAAATCCTTTCATTAAAAAAAAGCAAAAGACATGGAACCCCTCCCCCCAAAAAATTGGATCCACCAACGTAATCCTAAGGTCAATCACGCCGTCTAGCGTTGTCCATGATGACGTTGACGACTCGACGAAATTAGAAATAATAGAAAAATTAGAAGCCCGAAGACCTGTCCACTCGCAACGAATTCCTGCCATTGCATTCTGACAGATGCCGGCAAAATATAAACAATTGGACATCACCGCTAGCCCCGCCAAACTGTTTACATTGGCCCGGCACCTGACGGGACTTAGATGTGAGCCATGATTCGGCTCACAGCTAAGTACTTGGCCGAATCATGGCTCTTACAGTGCATTGTGCCATGATCGGGCAAGGTCTTTGCATTGGTTTACCCAATCAGGGCTCTCAAGGCACTGTGCAGTGCACAGTGCCCTGTGGGGTGCTTGGCAGGCGAACAGCCCACCAAACGCCCTGATACACACGAACACACGAACTACTGTTGTTTGAATCGAACATTGAGCCCATCCCTACAATAGGCACCAGAGTTTCACCTAGTGCATGTGGAAATCTAATAGACCTGATCAGATGCACTGCCTCTCTTCCTTAACTAAACAAGTCCATGTGAGGACACTTGTGCTGAGGTTTGTGGTCTGTACTCATCTATACCAGCATAGAACACAGAAGTGGGTGTGGAGGAAACACTTTTACCTGCTTGAAAATAATATTGGAAGGCATTTGAATGTGAAAGTTAAGTTAAAAGTCATTATGTGCAGGTATACATGACTATAGAAAGTCCATCGGTAGTATTTTCTCTTTTTTTAAACAATCAGTTCTTCATGCTTCTTATGATGCTTGAAGTGGTTTTTAATTGCGTTATCCAGATATGCTGAAAACCTCTTTGTATACCTTGTGATGCTGTGATCTAGCCACTGGAACTGGGAGGGGGTATGGAAGAGGCTTTCCTGCATGGCTTCCCTCAGATGCAGGGCGCTTCCTTCAATATAGTCAGTGGCGGAACTACCGCCGGTGCAGCAGGTGCCGGGGCACCGTGGCCTGTGGCTATGGGGGGGCCCAGTGGGGTCCGGTCCTGGGCTCCCCCACAGCCTCAGTGGGGTCCGGTCCTGATTTTTTTTGGCAGTGCACGGTCCCGGTGTTCGAACACCGGGGCCCCGCACTGCCGACGGGCTTCTCAGTGAGGGGGCGGGTCCTGTGACTGACCTCCTGGGGGGGTTGGGGGACAGTAGCTGTGTACTGCTTTTTTTCTTTCTTTTGCGAAATACTTTTCAAATGGTGGTGGAGGCCAAGCTATAATGTATAATATTACATCTAAAGTGATCTATAAGAACAAATTTGTTTGCAGAAATTAATTTTTTTTTTGTATCACGCTAAGGGCCATACCCCGCCTGATAAAAGCAAAGCATGCAAGAGAATCCAACATAATGCATAAAGGTCCTGCATAAAGGTCCAGCATTGGTTGACTTGGCACATAAAGGTTAAACTAGAGTGACATGAGACCTGCTAAGAGTTGGCGGCGCTTATTACACACTGCTTTTTCATGTTATCAGACAAGTGGATTATAATGGGGAATATTACACTGTAATGTTCCCTATTATAATCTATTTCTCTAATTAAATGATTACAGGTAGGCATGTGATCTATCACAGTTTGAGACTACGTTAGAATGTGTGACCAGTGACGTGGTCACACATTTTAACGTAATCT